ATTAAACTGAGGGGAAGAAGAAAATTAACAATAGAAATATTATCCTTAGTATCAAATTAAAAAAGTTTATGCAGATTTTTTTTATTTGATGACGTCATATTTGTACAGAAAACGTCTAAACACGTGCACTTTCATACTTTTTATCAAAATACAGCATTTTTTCCGTCTTTAGTTCAATTTTTTGCTGTGGCCACACCCTTCGAAAAAAATGAAATTTATACCATTAAAAAAAGAAGTAAAATCTGAATAAGTAGAGCATATTTTAATTTTGTTTGAGAGGTGTGGCCAAATCGAAATTTTTACTTTTAGTTCGATTCCTGTCTCTAAGCATCGACTACCACAGTGGAAATTACGGGGTATACCTCACATAGATTAAAAAGAAAAAAGATTTTGTATTGCTTTTGTAAATACGAAAAAGTTTATAAATGCAAATGTTCTGTCTATAATATGTTATTTTGTGAGTTGTGGTGCAAAAAAGTACGAAAAACGAGACCGCATGCAGATGCAATAATGTCGACTTTTTGTACTTGTGTGTAGTACGTGCCTCAGTCCTGACCCGAGACTTTTTCTTCACCTAGCTGATTCTATTTAACTCATCAATATGCTGAAATGTTTAAAATAATAATTCCTAGCCTATTTATTAATATTTTGTTGTTTTTTTTTCAACTACCGACTCCTCGTCACCATGGTCACTATGTAATCAAAGGGAGATCACCCGAAAAACGTGTACATCAGTGGCAGAGTCGAAATAGCTACAAGTTGATTACATCAGATGCAACGTAGAGGACGTATATATAATGATTGTTTCACCGCCTTACAAATATAAATTATGTATATCGGGAAGTTAGCATCGACCATCTTCGCTAGCTCATGTATATATCGGTCTGATCCTTTGAAACGCTCTTGCAACAGGTACCATATGGAATAATACAGAAACTTTTGATAGATATAAACTTCAAAACTGTGTCAATACCCTTTTAACTGCAGTGCTGAAATATGTTTGAAATAAAAATGATTTAAAATCCTTTATTATAAATGTTTAAAACAAAATGTCTGCGAAGAAATTGTCCTTGTAAATAGGCACGACTTTTCTTAGGCGCAAACTGATGATAATATATAGTAAGGGGGTCCCCCCTTTTTCTCCAATAAAAGTATTTTGCTATTAATATGGAAATTTTCTTTTAAAAATCGATTAGCCCTCTTCGTTTTGTTGGGAGGAAAAAAAAAGATTTGTCGAGTTTTGGCAGTTATATTACGAATTATTTTGCCTTGAGCAGTCCCCCCCCCCCCCCCCCCTCCTTTTTTGAAAATAGATGCTACGTCTCTGAACAGGATATAGTAACCACTAACAGCGATATAAAGTTCATAATGTTACAAGACAGACAGACAGATTCTATAGCCACTTGCCGGTTTTATCAGTAGGGAACTAGCTGGTAAGAACATCGTCCGTGTACGATAAATATTTAACAAATGCATCATTAATAAATGGATTCGAATTCATCCTCAAATGCTACATTCTATCACTATAGTTGTTACTGATGCACTCACAAGGAAATTGTGACTCTAGAACATACACATAGTATTAAATTATTATCATGAACGAAATTTAAACCCATTTTAGGGACCACTGAGGTACAGACGGGGTTCCTCAAGTGTGGTAAATTTAAAGATATTCAATCGCTGTCGGAGTAAAAAAAGCAATTATTAAATTGCCGAGCGCCGTATTCTATGTATCTTCCCAGATCAAATATTCTTTTGTTTTCCTCAGTGACATATATGCGATCCCTGGCAATCTGTGAGGCATTGATTCCATAGCTTCAGTCAGACCGACAATGGGGGGACATTGATTTTGTACCCGAGATTAATGGAGAGATGGCTCGTTATTTTTTTGTGAAAGCTCGTCTAAAGTCCCAGGGGGAAATAAATTAAAAAAAAAAAAGATCGACCTTCTCAGGAGGAGGATAATTGATTCAGGAAATATGGCGTGGATACATGTAGGAAAGTAGCTTTCTTAAACATCTATGTTGTCAGAGTTATAATTCCGTGACAGCTAGATCTTAATTTGAATATACATGTATAGCGAGTGGAACTAGATTACGGAAGAATTCTGTGATAAGATTAACACATATGGAGTATTTGGGGGGTAGAGATATTCCTCTGGATAATTCGCAGGTATGGATATCTTTTTGATTATTTATGAAGTAAAGCGGTCGATATCTAATACTTTATATTTCTGGAATATCTGGATTGTATGTAGATAAGGATATCTGAATCAGTTAACATCTTGTGTTACAGCTGTAGATACTAAATAAATCTTGGATGTCGTATCAGATTAAGTGTGGAGATACAAGATAAGCTACAGGGATATTAGTTATATAGAGTGTTGGGATATTAGATAATGTTAATATATACATTAGACAAATTATTCAAATATTTGATAAAGTATTGAGACATTTATATAAAGTATTGAGACATTTATATAAAGTATTGAGACATTTATATAAAGTATTGAGACATTTATATAAAGTATTGAGACATTTATATAAAGTATTGAGACATTTATATAAAGTATTGAGACATTAAAGTATAGATATTAGATAAAGTATTGAGATATTAGATAAAATATTTAGATAAAGTGTTGAAACATTGATTAGAATATTGAGATATAAAATAAAGCATTGAGATGGATTCGATAAAATATTTAGACATTAGATAAAGTATTGAGATATTACAGAATTAAAGTAAATAGACATTAGATTAATAGTTCAAATATCAGATAAAGTAATGGGACATTGTTTAAAGTATTGAGACATTAGATTAAAGTATTGAGATATTATATAAAGTATTTAGACATTAGATAAAGTATTTAGACATTTGATAAAGTATGAGATATCAGAAACATTAGTAAGACATTTTATAAAAAATTGAGATATGAGATAAAGTATTGAAATATCAGCTAAAGTATTGAGACGAGACTATATAGGTACATATATAATTATATTTAACAGTTTGTTCTAGAGACATCTTTGTATATGTTCAGAGGAATAGTTTGAGATTGATAAAAGCATATTCAATAATACGTTCTATTTCCATTAGTGAACTCTTCAAAATTAGAGGCGTGTTTGGTCGTCTGACAGGGACAGCATGGCGTTGCGGGTAATACAAAACATGCCAATCTCAATCCAATTTTTAATGTAAAATGTATTTGTCATTCCAGTTAAAGAATAGAAGAACTAAAAGACATATGAAAGAGAGCGAGAACCCTAAATTTATCATCCATTAATAAAAAATACGACATTTCCGAGGCATCTGTATATTGTATTTAGATGTACCATACGATAAATAGATACATACGATCAACAATAGATATAAATTGATATCGTTGTCATTCCTACTCTTGATGTATATAAAGTCCACAACAATAAAATATTTCATTTGCATTTTCTTAGGATTTGTTCATCGACATTCAACATATTGTTTACATGTTTACGTTACGTTTGTCCCTGAAATCCCGCGAGATTTGTACATTTTCCGACTTTTTCACAAAAGAGCGCACTAAGAAGGATAACTCTTCCATAGTGGAAATAGAACGTATTGGCGTATGGTATCAGGTCACTTGATAAGTTCTAGTCTTGTTGCAGCCCGGAGGACCGGGCTGCTCTATACATATAAGTTTAAGTGTTGGTATATGGGGATTGAGGTGGGAGAAGTTATTCAGAATTAAAGGTTTTCTAAACATTAAAAAGATTGTTAATCAGAATGTTCTTTCCCTTTATAAATTATGAGATACACAATATATTTACTTCCATAAAGTGAATCTGTAAAAATATATATGTTTTTCATATTTAACATATAAAGTTGCTTATCATTTACTATCGAAAAAACGACAGGTCCCTTTTTTTAGAACACCGAATTTTACTTATCGCATAAAAACGTACTCTACACAGCCTAGAGTTCGTGTTTTATTTTCTTAAAGTGATAGACATTTTTGAAAATAGGTGATGCATGTGTCTGGTTTCAATTTATATTTTATGCAGCCAACATTTACTTGAGGAATTGATAAAGTTTAAAAGGGTATCATTTTTGTTCGATTTTCATCCGACTATAGGTTTTCAAAATATTCTCGACTATCGTCTCCATCATTTAGACGCATGCCTTTTTCACACATATCGAAGCAGTTTGATGATCAAGACTCATTTCCATTGTTTACTTTATTTATTTCCCGGGCGACAATTGATGGTTACATCAATGTTTTCTTGCAATCTCTACCCAGAGTTATCGTTCCCGCTACGCTCCACTAATACCTCTGTCAACGTCTAAAAAAGTAGTACGGAAGGTGTAGACGCTTGGCCTTTATCACAGGAAGATTAACAAACGTATTACCTTCACTTTTCTGTATATGTGTCAATGCTGCAAGTTGTTTGTATTTAAAAACTAAACCATGTTGATATTTGTCGGCAATGCGTTTCAAATTTTCCACGTTCTCCATATCTGTCCACGAGTGATGCAATATCCCGCCGAGAAATAATCCCTTGTAAGATACGGTGATACAGATATATCTCCTTCTAATTTTCATACATAAACTTTTCTTTAAATTCTAAAACTTAAATTTATAACTTTAAAATTTATAATTTGTTATACAATAGGTCAGAGTAAGTTTTGCCAAGAATCTTGGCATTTAGACGTTGACAGAGGTGTTGTAGCGAAGCGTAATACGCCCTCTGGTGAGAGATTGGTTTTCTTGTTGGTATTTGTTTATAGGGTATAAAGTCCGACTAGAGTAATTTCATAGTTTAATTGGTAGGAGAGACACCCCTTTGGATACCCCCCCTTCTCACACTGGTCATAATTATCTTTCCTTCGGAGTAAAATAAAAGGATTTTCCCATTTCAATGCCAACACAATGTGCAATGTAGATTAAACTGAATTAGATGGATGTTAAGATGTCATGAAATTCCTGCAACAATGCAGAAGCATTAAATTTTATTTCCTTTTTACAGATGGTGATGAAAACTGGTCAAGCGATCGTCCACGGCTACCGTTTTGATCAGCCGGCGATGGACGACATTTTTCGTGCATCCCCTGAACCAGGAAGTTATTATAGGTGTCCTGTGTCAACTCCTCTTCATGGAAAGAGATCTACACAGCAGAAGATACCCGAAAGTGTGACATTCGTGTCTCTCGATTTCAGCCAGGTGAAGAGTTCACCTAAACAAAATGTTTACAAAGGAATGCCAGCTGGAAAGAAAGTTGTTCCACGTCGGAAAAATATGGACTATTATTATGTTGATAAGTCGTTCCAGAAACGAATAGCACGACAGTCAAATACGTCGTGGTTAAAAGGACTTTGCGCTCAACCCGTTGAAGAAATCTTTACAAAATACAGAAGACAAAGCGAGTTAAAGCGACAACACACAATGTTGACACGGAGCTTCTCTACCCCTGGGGAAAAGGCTATTGTAGAGGGATGGGAAAGCAACAGTTCCAAACGACTGAACTCTGCTACATCCCGTTCCTCAGTGTTTTCGCTCACTACACAAGACACTGTCACACCATCTCTAGAGGTCGTGTCTAAACCATACCGCCATCACAGCTCAGAGGAAGACGTCACGCGCAGCAGTAGCCGTGTAGACGCCAATCAGCATCTGACGTCACCAGGAGATACTCCTCGCGAATCGGGTTCAGTGTTCACAAATTCCACACCAGCACATCCGCAGAATAACATTTCGAGGGAAAACACGTCTTTGCGACTGAATATTAGCCCCGTGGTTGGCAATGACTTCTATGAACAGTTTAAACGACAGTCCTCTAAACTTCCAGATATATACAACAAGAAAAATAACTATTCTTTTCAAAGCAGACAACGAAAATACTACAGTAGCCCAAACCTCTATTCAAGTCCACGAGAACAATCACCGACATTCAAAGGAGGTTTGGCGCCTGCGCAGAAGTTAGAGACTTCCAGTACCCTTAACTGTTCTCTATGTGCCTGGGACGAAGGCTCTGACTCATAATGTTCATCTCAAATGAGCTGGATAAAACAGATTTGTGAAGACGTTATGTAGTTTTCTTGCTGAAAGATGCTTCAGTTAACGGCCCTGGTGTTGCAATACAGTAAACACCTCACTATGTGACACACATTTTGGAAATGTCAATTATGACGCTTTTTCAAGTGAAGAATCTCTTATATATCAATATCACTCATTCTTAATGAGCAAAGTTAAACACATGGCCTTGGAACAGAAAAAGGAGAACAGAGTTAATTATTTGAGCTTTTCATTATTATATACGTTTTTTTTTGAAGGGGGGGGGGGGTAAAATTGTAAGCATTTGTGATTAAATTCAATGTTTTAGTGATAATGAAACATTATAGCTTGTATCTCGAATTTTCTAAAATTTAGTACGGTAGCCTAGTAGTAGGGCGATCGCTTCGTGATCGGAAGGTTCGGGTTCCATTCTCGTTCGCGGCGCCGCGTCAAACCTAAGACGTAAACATAATAGCGACTGTTCCTTCACCATGCGCCCGGCACTAGAAGTGAAAGTCATGAAACCGAATTCCGTGTCATTGAAGGCGTTGGCACGATAAAAAAACCCTCACTGCTTAATGGCCCTGAGTGCCGAGTATACGTCTAAATTTGAAGTCCTTCACCGGTGACGACTCTATATGAGTGAAAAATTCTGAGATGGGATGTTAAACAATATACAATCAATCAACCAATCTAAAATGTAGTAATTGGCGACCTATTACTACGTAGCTGTCTCAAGCGTATCACGTCAGTCTTCAAGTTGTTGATTACATCAGTTTACCATCTACTCGAGAGCTTTCCAAGAACCAAACAGCAAACCTGGTAATTAATCCTCCAACGTATTGTTTATTAAAAAAAACCAAACACTACATCATTCTTTATTCAATAAATACAAGTTTCTTTGAATGCTAAATATGCCAATCTCTTAACGTCAAAGTACGAGTTGATCCGTTAGACTTCTTAAGGCACTCCTTCTTCCGTCTCTTGACTGCAAAGAAAAATCAAAGTCATTCACTCAGCAATGGCAAGCGATACCCTCATTCATGTTACAGTTTCGCCTACGACATCTTTAAAAACTTCGTAAATCCGGTCGTTTTTTTTCTAATTACTTCCCTTGTCTTTAACTCCTCTGTACAACGAGACCGTAAATATAATTCTAGTACTGGACATAAACATTGAAAAAGCAAATCTTTTTTACTTTAAATCCATTCCTTACTTTCAAATGAAAGTACAATAAACATCAACACAAAATTTGGACATAGCGACGACACGTAGCAGCTTTATTGTACAATATAAAAATAACATGTAAAATATGAAAATCCATAATTATATACATGCATAATTATCGTAATGTTGGATTGAATAAATTTAAACTTTTATCGTGCTCTACGTGTCGTCCTGGACTGCCATTTAAACAACTATTCACCTCTTATATAGCCTTGCTAACCAGACCAGTTCTTAAGGAACACGTGATATTAACCGGGTATTCGAATGAAAACCTTGTAATTCCGAACAAATTCATTATAACACCCAGTTGAAAATGATTTCTGTCCAATTCGTTCCTCACACGAAAGAAATCATATTTGTTGTAATGCTGATACAGATGTTTAGAACGATTTCAGGATTAAAAAACAAACCGGAATAACAAAGGTTGTCAAAGAATAAATACATGTATATATACATACTTATCAGTAAAACATCTAAAGTATAGTCGCAATGTATATTTTTATTGATAAATAGTAAATATGACAGTACCTTACCCATGGTGAAGATGATAACTTCCGGCGGACGGATGACATTTCATTCCGCAACAATCCGCTATACATCGGTAATGGTGGCCGTGCTGGTGACAGTTAGCGTCACTCGTGCAATGGACCGTGAAGGCACAATGGCAACCGAACATTTCTTGGTCCCATCTTTTCACCAAGTGCTTCAACACCGTGTGTCCATTCAGTGCTGCTTGAGTCCTCTCTACTAAATGGAATATAACATTCAACAATGGCGGAATTATATTAATATATTTAATTCACAAATAAGAGGCAAATGCACTTGCGTCCAATTTAAAAAAAATATTCACAATATGGAATGATGATCGCTATGATCAGTCTTGTATTATACCTATCTATACTTAAGGATGGACTCTTTTCATATTTTTTGTCTTTAGAAAAATAGAGAAGTTTTCACAGATTCATATGTAGAAAAAATTATGCATGAAGTGATGTTATTTATTAGATCAAATTACAGAATGTTATTTGACGTTTGTAAGAGTAAAAGACCTTACGCGTCTTTTTCTGTTTACACAAAAAGATTGATTGTTTTACGCCCCGTTCGAGAATTTTTCTTTCATATAGCGACGTCACCATATACCGGTGAAGGACTTTAGACCTTTGCTCGGCACTTCGGGCCATTGAGTAGTGAGGGTTCTTTATCGTGCCAACGCCTACCGTGACACACGCGGGCCTCGGTTTTTAAGGTCTCATTCGAACGACCCGCAAAAATGACCCGCAAAGTGCCGAGCGCTTGGCGAAGGAAGAGTTGCTACCTTTTTTTTTTGCTAGCGCTCTCGAGCGCTAGCAACTACGTTAGTCTATGTTTCTAAAATGCGCATGCTCGACTTCACGGTCGGGGATTCTGGGAAAACTACTGTAGATAGACTGTACGATAACAATTTCGTTTTCTCATACAAAAATAGAAATGATCCGAATTTACACTGGCCTTTCCTGTCTGATATGCGCGATATACATTTCGTAGGTTAGAGACAGTCAATACCAGTCTAGATCCGGATTCTGAATTATTTTTAAGATTTATTGTCTAACCTACACATAAAAGTACAAGAAAAAATTTGGCCATATAATGCCAAGATTCTAGACATCTAGCTTTCCTTACAGTTTTACCACCTTAGTGGATAATTCCGGCAAGCTCGAAAAAAAACAACAACAACAACAACAAAAATCTTTTTCAGAGTATGTCGGAAAGACATGTCAATTTAGTGTTTATCATCTGAAAATACATATGATCTGAAGTTTTGTGTTTTGTCTAACCTGCACGTAAATGAACAAAAAGTAACAGTAACTCGGGTCTTATTAAACCAAGACTGTTATTTCTAAAGTTGTAATGAATACATAGCTTTTCTTATCTACCTTCATGGATCTTTCCGGCAAGCTCGGAAAACCGCGGCAACCTCGGACATGTTTTCCGAGCTTGCCGGAAAGGCCCGAAGGTGCTCAGTGGTTCTACTGACCTTATTGTTTTTCACCTCGAAATTGAAATTACAGTAAAATACAGAATGCTTAAAGTACAGTTAAGAGTTATGCCATTGCCGACGTGAAGCACACTCTTAGATTCACCATTCTGAATTGTGACACCCCCCCCCCCCCCCCCAACTCAACCCGCAGTGCAACCAACCTGCCTTCCTATTAATAATTAATCGATTCAGCAAATTTAACAAATGGTTCAGATATCTTCTTCTGTATTTTATTATGCTACAGCGCTAGCTCGCCAATCTTTTTAAAAGATAAGCTTGTATCGACTTAGGTCAGTCGCAGCCGTGATTCGAACACTCGACCTTCTAATCACAGAGCGAGCGCTCTACCGACTGAGCTACTGTGACGGTACACAAAAAGAAAAGCAAATGATACAACAGAAAAAGCTAGGTATATGTAATATTACTGGCTAAATAAAAAAGATAGTGACCTGACCTCGCAACTAAATATCCTAAGCTCCACTCTTCAACAAGAACACAGCGGAAGCAAAAATAATACCACTGTTCGTTATGTCCACATTTCATCGATAAGGGTCACACAAGACGAGGACTTGTATGAAACATATATCTACATTTCACATTTGAAGAGGATGGCATTGTATCACATGAATAATAAAGTAACAGAGTTTATAATTTTTTTTTCCTTTTTAACACCACCGTTCCTTTTAAACCCAACTTTCCTAGTTTGTATTTCCCCTTTATATATAGTTATTATCCAAAGATTGGAAAGTAACCAGAAACAAACATTTTAGATGAAAAAAGTCACATCTGTATGCGTATCATTTATTAAAGCAAAATATATTTATAGAAAAGTTATTATACAAGTAAAATAAATAGATGAAGAAAAAACTCTTGAAACGAAAATTTAGATTTCATGAGATATGAAAGATCGGTATAGAATGACATATAATAAAATTTGTGGGTAAAGGCTTGAAGACACGTTGCTCGATTTTTTTGCTGTTTGTATTTCCTTGAAGAGATTGCCCCGAAAGTATCTTTGATTTTGTCCCTTTGTGCACTCTTTAGCGTTTATTTTATTTCTTATGAGATTATATAGGAAATGCCATCATTTGGTATCACAAAGCCTGATAATTGTGAAGAAATTTGCAAAAGTAGCACTACTTCAATCACAAATTCTTGAAAAAAAAGAAAATTATATATAACTGAGGAAAGTGTCATCGTATGACCTTAATTTCGACTTATAAGCGAGACATCTTTCTGACTTGAACTAGTATAACAGATTTATAAAACATGCTTACCTGAAATCAAAGAAAGGATCATAAGCAACAGAAAAAGCCTAAAAAACATGATGATTTTACAAAGGTCTCAAAGACTTCATGCAGTTAGAATTCCCAGGCGGTTATGTCTCGCTGTCAACATCAGTGAATCGACTATCCGAAGTTTTCTATAATCTTTCCGTATTCCCTGTTTGTTTTGACGCAAAGATGTTGACATCGTCAAACAATTTAATGTCGCCCTTTTTATCCTGCAATTCAAAACATAAACACGCGATAACTCACGAGACCACGGATCACGATAACGGAAGACCGATCCCGATGTTTACATTTCACCAGCATTGGAAGATAGCGGAATTGAAATCGGTAATAGAGGGTGGGTCTTATTAACAAACTGACGAGGTTTGTATTAAATTATGTGTGTTTTTACTTCCTCTTGTAAAGTAATGATCCTCAACCATCACGTAATTATTTGTCACAATAAAAGAAGTTGGCCGCACAGAACTGTAAACTCTGCCCAGACTTCCGCCAATGCCACCTTCATGCACTACCATTGTCCGAAAAATAGGTCAATATAAATTCACATGGTGGTGATAGGGTTCTAAGGTCACTGACGTTTACTGTTTGTCTTGAAAAATCCCATAACATAACCTGTTTGACCTGCGCGTTCGATGTCTACAGAGTTTTTATGTACTTAGCTTGAAAGTTATAAGGAAAACTACACATTTAAAATACAACAATTCTGTTAAATAAAAAAAAAAAACTTAAAAACTAATTTTTACACTTTCAATAATACATAAATAGAAACTACATCGTAAGTTAAATATCATTCATAGATTTTATCGATGACTAGAAGAGAGACAATTAAGACTGGATCTGAACCCAAGTCCCCCACAATCAAGACAGTGTCTGACCTATCATGCCACAAGCGAGTGTTCGTGCCTGATGGCCACAACCCGCCCTTGATCTTAAATCCCCCCACCCCCAGAAAAAAAAAAACAAGAGGCCCATGGGCCACATCGCTCACCTGAGTAACTTTGGCCATGCTGTTCATTACCAGACTTCCCCCCTTGTAATACCTATTGTGGCCCCGCCCTACCCCAAGGGGCCATGATTTGAACAATTTAGAATCTACACTACCCTAGGATGCTTCCACATAAGTTTCAGTTTTTCTGGTCCAGTGGTTCTTGAGAAGATTTTTAAAGATTTTTCCTATATATTTCAATGTAAAACTTGGGATGCCCTATTGTGCCCCCCCCCCCCCCCATCCCCGGGGTCATGATTTGAACAATGTAGAGTGTACACTACTTGAGGATGCTTCCACATAAGTTTCAGCTTTTCTGGCTCAGTAGTTCTTGAAAATAAGATTTTTCAAGATTTTTCCTATATATTTCAATGTAAAACTTGTATTCCCTATTGTGGCCCCGCCCTACCCCCGGGGGTCATGATTTGTATAATTTAGAATCTACACTACCCCAGGATGCTTCCACATAAGTTTCAGCTTTTCTGGCCCAGTGGTTCTTGAGAAGAAGATTTTTCAAGATTTTTCCCATATATTTCAATGTAAAACTTGGATTCCCTATTGTGGCCTCGCCCTACCCCCGGGGGTCATGATTTGAACAATTGAGAATCTACACTACCCCAGGATGCTTCCACATAAGTTTCAGTTTTTCTGGCTCAGTGGTTCTTGAAAAGAAGATTTTTAAAGATTTCTCCTATATATTTCAATGTAAAACTTGGATTCCCTATTGTGGCCCCGCCCTACCCCCGGGGGTCATGATTTGAACAATTGAGAATCTACACTACCCCAGGATGCTTCCACATAAGTGTCAGCTTTGCTGGCTCAGTGGTTCTTGAGAAGAAGATTTTTAAAGATTTTTCCTATATATTTCAATGTAAAACTTGTATTCCCTACTGTGGCCCCGCCCTACCCCCAGGGGTCATGATTTGAACAATTTAAAATCTACATTACCCCAGAATGCTTCCACATAAGTTTCAGCTTTTCTAGCCCAGTGGTTCTTGAGAAGAAGATTTTAAAGATTTTTTCCTATATATTTCAATGTAAAACTTGTATTTCCTATTGTGGCCCCGCCCTACCCCCCGGGGGTCATGATTTGAACAAATTCGAATCTACACTACCCCAGGATGCTTCCACATAAGTTTCAGCTTTTCTGGCCCAGTGGTTCTTGAGAAGAAGATTTTTCCCATATATTTCAATGTAAAAATTGGATTCCCTATTGTGGCCCCGCCCTACCCCCGGGGGTCATGATTTTAACAATTTAGAATCTACACTATCCCAGGATGCTTCCATATAAGTTTCAGCTTTTCTGGCCCAGTGGTTCTTGAGGAGAAGATTTTTAAAGATTTTTCCTATATATTTCAATGTAAAACTTGGATTTCCTATTGTGGCCCCGCCCTACCCCCGGGGGTCATGATTTTAACAATTTAGAATCTACACTATCCCAGGATGCTTCCATATAAGTTTCAGCTTTTCTGGCCCTGTGGTTCTTGAGAAGAAGATTTTTTTATGACCCCACCCTATTTTTGTCTTTTCTTGATTATCTCCCCTTGTAAGGGGACTTTGCCCTTTATTTTAACAATTTAAACTCCCCTTCCCCCAAGGATACTTTGTACCAATTTTGGTTAAAATTGGCCCAGTGGTTCTTGAGAAGAAGTTGAAAATGTGAAAAGTTTACAGACGGACGGACGGACAGACGGACGGACGACGGACAACGGGTGATCAGAAAAGCTCACTTGAGCTTTCAGCTCAGGTGAGCTAAAAACCAGCAACCAAGCTTATCCCTTGCTGGTGGGTGGTAATTCCCCAATCCCCGAAAAAATAAAAACAGCAACCAAGCTTATCCCTTGCTGGTGGGTGGTTCTTCGCCTGCTACTTAAAGGAATGGTTGGGGGCTGTGATCCGGCAGTATTATGTAAAAAGACAGTAGTAATTGCGACAGACCAGACCACGGTACAGCTGATCTTCCGATGTCCCTGGCTATACTGGTGAACGAAACTATCTGACCTTCACACACTGATACACATGATATACACCAATTTATTTCATAATAAGCATTGAAATGTTCCCCAGTACAAGCCCACTTTACATGTTAATGTTCCTCCATCAGAGATCTTTGGAATTATAGAAATACGGCATTTATTTATATTTGTTACAGGTCATGGAATGTTTCGTAGAATAAGTCCCTGAATATGGCACAAATAATACACTTTTTTAGTAATGTCAAAGTGAAAAAAAGATAATTTTCATAGGATAGTTCTCTTTTTATCTTATGACGTCATATCCTCGAGTCCTTAGGAAATCTGGACAATCCTCCCTGACGCTTGCGTGGTTAGTACAGTACAGGACTAAGAGCCCTGTCTTTCTTAATCCCGCGGGAATCCATTTGTTTTCTTGGATCCGCCGGTTTCTTTGTCACACAGTTATTAGTTGTGTTCAACTTCTATCATCCATGGCCAAGAGTGAGTCGTTTCTGATCTACAGAGACCCGGATGTAGGTGTAGAGGCGTTTCGTCACCATTTTTGTGACAGTGTACTTGAGCGTACTCAGTCCGTCACGGTGGTTGTGTTTCTTTTCAGATTTAATCAGAGCAAATCTAGAAAGTTAATGATCAATGATAATTTGCTTCTTAGATGTTCTAGCTGAAGAAATGGCTACATGTAAAAATTCACGTCTATTTAAAACTTTTTTTCGATCAGTTTCTTAATGCCCTGTTCACACGGAGAGTTTAATTCGTAGTAAAATAATGCAAAGCAAAATGATGCGAATTAAACTAATGCGAATTAAATTGCGTTCACACGACAGCTAATGCGAGGTAAACTAATGCGAATTAAAATTTTATTTCTACAATAAGCCATTCAGTAAGGCTATTATGACGTCATTTACAAATCACGTCATATTGTGCACAGCAGATATACATTTGACATTATGTCATAGTGTCTGTACACATTTTAGTGATTAACATAATATTCCTTTGTTTTCTACTTAAAAAAATGTCACAAGTACCTATATGTGGCATGTGACCTAATTCTGCCCTTACGCATGCGTCAAAATTTAATTCGAATTAGCTTCGCTTAGCGTTCACACGGAGCTAAAGCGAAGTAATTTAATTAAGAAATAAATAACAAGTTTAAAAACTTCAATGGGAATTGAAGTGGGTCGGTCACGTGATCAAATCCTGTGAAGGCCGAAGGCCTTCTCAGAAGATTTGATCACGTACCGACCCACTTCAATTCCCATTGAAGTTTTTAAACTTGTTATTTATTACTTATATATACATTTGAGACGGACAATCGAATGTAATCGAATATAAATATTGCACTAACTGTACGTCGTAGATTTTGACAAATTACGCTAGGTGTAAATCGGCTTGAAAAGCGGTTACGCTTCAAATTCATCTGGCAAAGGATTGTTTTGAAGGGAATATTCTGTGAAAGGCTACATGTGATCAATTACATGTATTATAGTGAGCATATCGGTGTCTGGGAATTTTTGTATTCATGAGAACCCATATTCGATGTTAAAAAACACAAGAAACACGTCCGATGTTAGATACTACAAAGTTGGACATGTTGGAGGAATTTCGGTCGGAAAGGGATGGATGGAGACACTTGTCCGGACCAGATAACTTGAAATCAAGTGCAAAATTTGATCAAAAACATAAAATCTACGATTTCGGTAAGGCATATTTATTAATTTATGATGTTGACACGGAGACACTGGCGACAGCTTACATTGTTAAGACAACGTCACAACGATCTCTATGATGGAGGTGTGCCTACCGGGAGCCGGTGCCTACCGAACTTCCAAAGTGCAGTGTTTGTCAGCTGTTTGTGGCGTGATTGCATTACATTGATATTTTTCAACAGATTTTCAAATTTATTGTGAGTAAAGTTTAATGGAAAAAAAATTATAGCATTCAGAGGTCTGCGAGAAAAATAAGGGTAAACGTTGAGACTATGCAGCTCAGACATGAAACTTATAACACGTAGTTTTCTATTCTCTTTGTAAAATCGATCAAGAACTGTATTAAATACTCGTTTACATTGTAAATAAAATGATTATTATTTTACTTGCGTATTTTGTACATTTTTATGCATGAAAAACATGCTATATTGCTTAGTGGAGTAAGTCTTTTTATGTAGATATTACTGCGCTGTGTGATTAGGTCACGTAATGACCTATGACCTTCGAAAAACTTCATATAGGTATGAAGATATTTGCTCTCTGCATGTTTATATAATAGAGAGATACCACAAATGTATATATTGCGCAGTAAACTAATTCGAATTAAACTAATTCGCATTAAATTCTCCGTGTGAACGGGGATCAAATTTAATTCGCATTAACTTACGTTTAATTCGAATTAAACTCTCCGTGTGAACAGGGCATTATTAAGTAGTTTAGCAATTCAATATACAATAAGATACGTTAACTTGAGACATGCAGATGTTTGACGTCATTTGTGAACCATGTACTCCTGTCGTACCTTTGGGGATTCCCCTCGTCCCGGCGGTGAGAGAGCATCTTGTATCTGGCCACGTCTCCCGTGTATCGGCTAATCGTCAAGTTGTGATATTTTAACCTGTGTAAGTATAATAATTTGAAGATGGTGATATGAATAAATTAATAGATAAAACATTCGAAGGAAGTTCAGCACTAAAAGCTGATATTAATGAAACAAGGGATTAACTAACGAGAGGACCCTTGAACCTTCCAAACATTTGTATATGGTTAACAAAAAAATCAACACTTTACAGAACAAATTCCTCTACTGCATAAAAAAATCTGCATCCACACCATGACCTTTGACCTCACCTATTGTACATATCGTCGTCCTCTCCTCCCCAACCAAAGAACCTGTTAGAGTAACCGTTCACAGCCAGCATCTGCTCCCTGGTCATGGCGGACACGCCTCCAAATATCTGTGTGTACGGAAGTCTGAAACCGGAACATCCGGGTGAAAATTAAAAATATTACAAAGGACTGATACCATATTCACTATTTTAGGAGAAAACAACGATTCACGTGTTTTGTAGACATTTCTCTTGAGCATTTCAGAAAATAAATTGTCAATGTTATATTACAGATGATGATAAAATCAAAATGAAATCGAAATGCTTGACAAGTGTGTTATAAATCCACAACAAAAAGTATTTACTTGTATTCATTTTATCTACGTCCTCAAAGATCTGGACACAAGTGTGACCCACTGACCCAGTGATTCATTTTGAAAATGGTTATCATGGGTCCAAAGGACCCCTCTTAATGACAACAATGAGTCCCGTGCTAAAATCAATGCGTCCAAATCCAAGGGTATCGTATATTAGATGTTACAGAGGAAATTCTGGTTAAATAAAAAAGGGTATTGCACGAAAGCGCAAATGTTTTATTGTAGCTGTGAGTGATTTATACTTTATCTATCAATTGTCCAAGTAAGGATTTTGTGTCATAAAAATAAAATAAAAATAATATATTGTCCACTGTGCACTTTTGTTCTATTTTTAGATCGTACTTACGATCTCACACATTGTATCAGTCATAAAATGCACAGAAGCAGAATGAAGTAAAAAAAAGTTTAAGAAGAAATGACAAAATGATTAAATTTTATACTTCTAAGCTTGTAAGGAAAAAACGAAAAGAAAAAAAAAAAACAATGATACAGGTTACAGCTTAAATACAAAGGTATAGTATTCGCTTCAGAAACGTTCCACGGTATAGACATAGTCAGTGATAATCGAACTATGCTATCTAACTCTCAAATATTTTCTGATGATTGCTTTTAACTGCAGTTGTGAAATCTGACCTGTTGTTGGCAACCTTATACCAGTTAAAATCGTTCATGCATATCGCTTAGCACGTGGATATGATGCAATCGGTCAAGTTTTGAATCAGATTATACCGAAATAATTTAAAATAGTTCATGTCCTTCTATAAATTTATTGCGTCCATTGGGATGTACATTTATTGAAATAATGCGTCCTGGGCAAAATTTGTGCGTAATTTACGCAGGACGCACACCAAAATGAATCACTGCTGACCTATGATTTGATGGCCACAGACGTGTATCTGTGTTGTTGTGGATACGACTGTGACCTACAGTTCATTTTATCCATGTTAACAAACGTTCTGGACACGCTACCTCTTAACCTATCATTCATTTTATCTATGGCGACAGACATCTAGACAGGTGTATGACCTACTGACCTATAGTTCTTTTCATCTATGGCGACAGACATCTAGACACGTGTATGACCTAGTGACCTATAATTCTTTTTATCTATGGCGACAGACATCTAGACACGTGTATGAACTACTGACCTATAATTCACTTCATCTTTGGTGGCAGACATCTAGACACGTTTATGACCTACTGACCTATAATTCATCTTATCTATGGCGACAGACATGTGTCTGGGTTGCTCTGGACACGAGTACATGTTGTGGTCATTCTCAGGTATTAGATCGACGTCATGGAACACGTAACATTGGTAATCATGGACTTTGTTCGCTTCCAAGAAACCAACGTTTAACAGCAGTGCTCTATTGAACGGGATAGTCTCCTCCTGAAATAGTAACATGGAAATTTCCTTAAATGTTTATTTTTAGACCAAACAAGGATTTTGTACTTCAATCCGTATGACCTTCTCCAAACGACCTTTCACATCGGATTCTAATCACAAGCTACTGTTTTGACAAGAACGAAGTTTCAATACTATTTATTTCAAATGTTATAAGCATGGTTAATGTTATAAACTGTAGAGAAGATCAAACATTAACAAAAGTGTTCCAAGAAACGCATGTGTCGCCTGCTTTGTAGCTTCATTAAAGATGTAAATAAATCTAAGAGTAGTCAACTTTTGATTTACTTTAGCATGATAGTTCAGAAAACATGGTTCCCTAACCCTCAAATGAATAATTGAATTGAAATAATTTGAAATAACTATTAATAAATACGTGTTTTCAACAATCCTCCAAAAAGATTTCAGTGTGTCTTTACTGCAATTGTCAGTCTACATGATATATTGTGGAATACCAATCCCGATGTATTTTTATAGTATTTAAATATAAGTTTGTGTAATAACTGAATATCATACAGTTTCAAAGTACAGTATCATGAGCTGATAAACATGTATATATGCTAATCATCAAAATTCTGCCTCTCAGAGAGTATTTTTTGCAAAGTAGGTCCAAGGTCCAGTGGATTGTAATGCTGGTATTTTTCATAATATTTAATGACAAATAGTGCATATGATAAATAGCACAGACTTTACTCTTAAATGTCAAAAATATGCTGTATATCGGCACTATGAACTATTTTGAAAAGTAGGTCAAAGGTCAAGGGTCACGAGGTCGGTAACCATAGTAATTTACAAAAGCCATAGTGCCAAGCAATATATGTGCAAAATATCAAATCCATACCTCTTACAGTTCTCGAGATATAGGGGGTGACAGACGAACAGACAGACAGACGCCAGGTAAAGTGATCCCTAAGTGCCGCTCTGCTCTGTAGGCGACACAAAAACGAGTACTGACAGGTGTACTCTGATTTGCAGGAAATCTTATAATTCTGATAAAAGAGAAGCAATTAACTCAGGTCAATCTTAACGAAGTTACTCTAATAAATATCAAACTTCAAATAAATGTTAGGGGATTACCTTCACGTTCTATTTCAAAAGAAATTTATCTAACCTAAGCAAATCTGAAATACATAGATCTACTAATAAATTGCTACCACAGAAATCATTCTTACTAAATCAATGAGAAATATTCCGTAGTCAAGCTGCTGCCTCATAAGGAAAGCGTGAAGGTTGTTAAGAAGTATTTTGAGATGGATATCACGGTCCCGGAAAGGAATAATCAGCGCCACCCTGTGGCGGGCCTTGCAGTCAGGCGGCTGGTAACGACCGCCATTTTGTAACATGGGGTAGTTGTCTTCTATCGTCTGCCAGGCTGGGACATAAGTTTCCACCTCAACTGTACCTTCTGTAAAATTTAAAATGAAACCCATTATTCATATTACCTATATTTTATTTTTACCACCAAAATTGTCCTACTCAGAATAATATATGTAACAGTATGATAAATAACATGACTACATGAGGCAGATTTACTTACAGACAAAGAATACTAAAAGAAGTTAAAGAAATTGATAGACAGTTTTTCCAGGCTTTATTATCAAGAAGTTATTGTTTAAAGCCATTATTTTCTATGTATGAATATGTAGAAAATTACTTGAAGCATCTGATAGAGTTGTGGGACTTTCTTGTGAAACTTATTACCTGATGACTCAAAGATTGACTTTTTGAGTTGATAATTAACGTACATGTATGAATTAAATGAATACCCAGAAAATCTATAAGGGATATTTTTTGGAGAATTTCAATTTTTTCAACATTGAATTTAGTATAGATATATATGTATATATTTTGCAGAAGCCTAGCTGTACAAACTGTGTTTTGGAGATTTCTATTATAAACTTATTTTTTTTTTATTTAGTTTTCCACGTCATTAACATGATTAAGTAACAACCTCAAAGTGCATTAACTGTCATTCAGATTATGTAAAACAGTTTTTGATTGAAATAAAAAACGTTACAGTAGCACTTTGTTGTAGTTGCGAAAAACACTCACTTAAATGAGGCGAAATCAGCGGACAGAGTGGTTTTTCTTCCTTGCACCCTCTCCATAGCCAGGATAAATAGGAACACTTCCGGGAGAATATCACCCCAAACAGCACCACCTGGGTCAGCGCAAACACTGGCAACAAGACGTAGACATTCCTGAAACGGATCGGGACCATCCTGTCTTTTCACAATGTTTTTCATCGGGGATCATACATGTGTCCTATAAGATAGATTAAAAAACAAATATTTTTTATTAATTGTTCAGGAATATTAAAATCTAAACTCAAGCAAGATACGACTTAAGTGTGACTTCACTTACACATGTAAATTTATGTATACATATTAATCGCATACACGTGCATGTTAACGCCCTGGGGCGCACATGCATGGTATGGACAGATAATGCAGTTTTAATGTAAATTTAGTTAGCATGTTTGAATGATGTACCGTAACACAGGCATTCTTTCTCATATTATATACTTAAACTGAAATAAACAAAGATTTCAAGTTCTGTAAGAACAAAATTGCCCATCACCTCAACAAGTTTAACTAGATGTACTCAACAATAACAAAGACGGAATTCTAATCAATGTGCATAATTATTGTCTTAAATATCACAAAATGGAAAGATCGAGTTGGTACACCGAAGCTTCTACAACTGATAGGCACATAAAGTAAAAACAAAATTCTAAGAAATAGAAGTGATTTACCCACTATGACTGTTCTTTGTGTGTAATTCCCGGCTTCTGATGTTCTAATCTATCTCTTTACATCAGACATTCTTCACGTGTAGTGGGGCGCCAGGTGGGGGAAGCGCGTTTGCGGAGAGGTGCACAGCAGGAGTTACTCCGATATATTCATTATTCCGTCGCGCACACAGTGCGAGATCTTTTAGGCTAGCTGAAACATATGTAAATATTTGATAAACAAACATGATGTATATATAATGTCTCTTCTCCCCAGCTGACAAATTAAAATTAGTTACAGTCATTTTGTTTTAGTACTACATGCATATATATATCTGAGTATATTTTGTGGATACAATGTAATTTTTCTCACAGGCCTGTAGAATGCGGGGGGGGGGGGGCATTTTTTTCTGAGCATAGTCTTTTACTATAATTTTGATATGTAAATTTTTTAGAAGATGTTGGTTGTCCCCCTCCGCCGCTTTTGTTGCTGTAAGGTCGAACGAATTCCAGCATTTGAAGAAAAAAAGTACCCCCCTCCCCACGAAATAAGATTTTTGAGTTTGGACAACTTGATAGATTATCTTTATTTATTTTATTTGCTTGTCAATTTTTTTTTCTGGGAGGTTAATAGCCTCCACTTTTTAAAACGTTGCTACATGTATTCATAATAGCATTCGAAGTGGTAAAAGAAAATTTCTCCCTACTCTCTTCCGTACATTAAATATTCTATATATATTACGTAATTAAAATTGGCTTTAGCACCTAAAGGTAGGGATTACATGTTTTATAAATGAATCGAATTTCCATATATACTCGTATATGAAGATTATCGAAAACAGATTCTTAAATTTCGTTAAAAATCATTTCTCTCATTGATTATTATACATATAAATTCGTCATTTATCTTAAACAAAAGGGAACAAATTTGATGCGCGTTAATGACCTATATACATTTACATGTATATGTGCATGAATACGACATAATGTACAAAAATCTGGCTTGATTGGAGGGAAAATATTATAACAGGAGTACGCCGTTAATCTGACTATAAATCATATGTTTGATAATATTTATAATAACCGTGTAAAACAGTACAAGCCTTATGATCTATAGAGTCCTATGACAGATTGTGTGATTGATAATACATTCAATAATCTTGTCATTATATCATACAATGTTAAAAAAAAAATTAGGTGCACATGCACGCCAAGGTTTTTAGAATGTGTATTTTAATTTGACTTTGTTAATTGTGTATAAATACATGCGATTCTGTATTTTATTTTAAAATTAATTAATCTACTGAATCCGAGATGAAATGGATGAAAATTCAAGGTTTACCAAGGAATGACAACTCTTGAGATTTTCAGTCGTCAATTTCAAATCAATATGACTCATCTTACGCTCTTAATGTTAAATACACCAAATATATGTTTTCAATAAGGCCCTTTATGGCGATATAGTAAGCTGAAAATATATATGCTCCGCATTAGAGTACGAAAAACAAAATAATATATATCAAAAAATCTCAAAGTTCTTTATAATTTCCTAATAATAACAATGTCTACTAGCATCTAAAATTTCAAAGTGTGACACTTTATTAAGATTCTACTATAGTCGATGAAATGCAATTTTCCATCTTAAAAAAATAAGAAAAAAATATAAAACGTTAATCTTGATTTTTTTTCAGGTCCTTCAATAGAATTATAATTATGTATCTATCTATTTCCGCCAAGAAAGCATTTGCATTTATATTTTCAACAAAAATTCACCTTTGATGTTTATCTTTACTTGCATCGAATAAAAGATATTGACAAATCACAAATTAATTCTTGTGATAACTTTGAAAAAACAAAATAAATGTAATTTCAAAATTTCTTTAAGTTTCTTGCAATTGGAGTATTTAAGTATCCACATGTGAATAACATCACTTCCCGAAGAACAATACTTCTGAAGTTCCCCCATCACTGTTATTAATGTTTTTGTGAGAAGTAAGGAAAGAGGCTTGGTAAAACATTTAAAAGAACCTGCTACGTATCTTTGTTTGTAAGGATTTTTATAAAGTTTAGGAATCCAGTATATGTATGGTAATACAGATTCAATTTAGTTGTTGGGAAGATTAAAGATATTAAAAACCGACATATAACCGATTTCGAAGAATTCCCTCCGTATATAGGGAGATAGGGAACTATGAGTATACAACCAAGTTTCTCTAAAATGCAATTGTAGTAATAAGCCATTCAAACAAGAGTGAGCTGTTACATTCTTTGTCAGCTGGGATCAGTACATATTGATCGTGTAATCTATTTAATCTATTCTGTCGGTAATGCAAATTGTAAAAAAGCGCAACTATTGAATGCACTTTAAAATAAACCATTGTTAGATAAGGATAAGATGTAAATTTATTTACATTTCTATTTCCTATATCTGATTCTCATTAATAAGATGGTTATTACATGTTTTTCTGCCTCAGATTAAATCCAAGGATAATGCCAAATGAGTGTTTTTATGCCTTTTTTGTTATGAAAGAAGATACATGTATTTTTCTTTTAACGTATATGAGAAATTTTGAACAGAAAGTTTGTTGAATCTAACTTAAATGCAATTGTTGGGATCTAGTAGCCAGTAAATTTTCAAAGATGTTGAAGATAAAAAATGAAACCAATGATTACGGCGAACTATATGAAGTATTTTGGACATGTTTGAGGAAAGATATTGATGGAAGAGCCAACTTCTTAAGTAATCTTTCTTACAGGTGGCTTAAAAACCGGTTTGTAAAATTTCAAGTTTCCTTAACCTGGGACAGAAAACCTTCCAAATTGATACGGATAGTTATGAAAAAAGTAGGGATGTCAAAATATTTATTTTCCTTAGTCGATTATTCGATTGCATTATTCGAACGATAGTCGAATATTCGGAACATTTTCTGAATAAAAAATTTTATTTCAAACTTCACCGGTACATGGCGTACTTATTACTCAAAAACCTTTTTACTTAAATTTATTTAAAAAGTCACATCAAAATTAGTGCAACGTTACGCGTGAATAGCATGATTATATGAAATAAATTAAGAAACCTACCCAGTAATTTTCCAAAATGTGTGATTTACCCGTCAATCGAATTCATAAATCGGTTTGTACATGCAGTCAGTTTTTATTTTAATAAACATTAACAATTTGCCAGCCAATAATTTTATGAGCTTATCATGAAATAATGAAGGGGGTGGGTGGGTGGGTTAATCTCACACTATCCACACGTCAGGTGCTTGTGAAATTGTTAAACAGTTAGATACTGTTTATTTAATTATTGATTGCTCTGGCTATCAAATTATTGATTGCTCTGGCTATCAAATTGTCCTTAAACAGTTTAAAATGTAAGCGATTTGTTTTAATAATTATCGAATTGTCAAAATATGACACAGCCATGCATGATTTGTTCCTTGCATCTGAGCAATCTTAAAATAACAAAAGGTAATTGGTACATGGTATGAGATCAAGTCCAATTAACTATTTTACAAACAAAAGCCCAATATATTGGTGGGTAATTTATTACAAAAACAACACAGCCAGTTACTAAAAAATAATTCTCGCAGTAGTGAATTGAAGCACTTATAATTACTGTACTTTCTATACATGGAAAAATCGAGCGTTTTTATTGAGGAAAATTATCTTATCGACTGTCTCTGAGGAAAGACGGTTTCTCAATTTTGTGATGAGAATTCCATCTCGTTATCACTCTTTTATTGCATTTAATTATAATAATATTCGAATGTCGTTTCATAGATAGAATGTTCTATTGTTAAAATGATAAATGTCCTACGGACCCGGTTTAACGTGAGGGCCTGTCCCGAGACACAGTTAGATTATTCTAACTAGTTGTTTCATTATTCGATCGTCGGTCCATTCGACTGATAGTCGAATAGTCGACTATTCGTTGACATCCCTAGAAAAAAGTCTTATATGATTGGCCGAGATCCAGCATTCTAGTAATTATACCAACTTCTGTTCACCCGCACGAGACCTTCAAAGTGAGTATAAGAATTTGTTTTTCTACACTGGACCAAAGAGATCTAGGAAATTTCCAAATTCATACAGATGGATGCTCACCTGCTCCAGACCTACCAGATAAACATCTATACTTATAAATTAATAAATTTTGCAAATAAACTCCGAAACGGGTGCACCAGAGTTCTTACTTACTCCTCTAAGAATACACACGATACAGGATGATGTCCGTAAACTATATTTAGATTTCACTTGCATTGTAAGTATCGTACATTAAATTAAAAGTCTACTTTTATTTTCTATAAACAGCCATGAAATAGCAAAAACGTGAGTACGGTGGCGTTTCCGGTTGGCGGATCAAAGTTACTGGCAATTTTTAATGAAACTGACAACAAGCAATCGTTTATTTCTTTCATTAAAAGTCATTACTGAATTATTCAATCAAAACTTGATTTAAATGATATAAAAGAAATAAGTTGTTATAACCGATTAAAAATGGAAATGTGCAAATTATTTTCGTCATTCACCGATCGTAATACTGACGGAAGCTTCTAGAACATCATTTAGCATCGAGCCCGATGTTAAAAAGAAAAAATAGCTTTTGTGTGAATGGTCATTGAAATAATGGTAAATCATTGATAACACTGTAAGTTGTGAATATATTTATATATCGAAAAACTATTACATATATGTAGTAGGTTTTCCTAATAAATTTATCGGTAAAATTTGTATATATTCCACACTGAAAGCATCGTGGCAACGAACCCGAAGTACAATTTGTACTTCGTGATAAACTTGCTTACATGAAAAGAGAATACCAATGAATAAGGCATTATTCAAATACAATTATGTTATATAATTTTGTGCTTTAATTAATACTTTTCAGTTTTTTTTCTGAATACAGTCTTTTGTATCAAATACTCGGCCTATTCCAGTGTCGGATCCAGGGATCTTGAAGGGGGGGGGGGCAACCAGTTTGGGGTTGGGGTAGGGGCCCACGGACACACCAAAAAAATGATTTATTAAATTTTATGTATATTTTGGACACAAAACGGGAGGGGGTTGGGCCCCCTCTAAATCCGCCAGTGTATTCATAGGGC